GTTGACTCTTTTAAAGTCAGCGGAAATTGTGACTGTTATTACCCTTGAAATAATGTTTGTGTAGTACTTTGCAATCCTAATGCTTATAGAATCATACGATTACAATTTTCTGGTTAGAATATGTCGCATAGAGTGGTGACTACTGTATCTTTTTGGTTTGCTTGTAAAACAGGATCAACAGAGATTTTCAATCGACTTAAACAATACGATACTCCCAAATTGTTCTTTGCAATAACAAAATATCACACAGTTTGATGAATATTTGTGTGTAAACTGTAAACCACATACAGTACACCTGTATTCTATCTATTTTACCTTTTATTTTCCCAAGACTTTATAGAAAATCACGCATTACGTGATCAGTGAAGAAAGGCTGTATCCCACGTGTTTTATAGGTTAAGAAGACAAGGACGGTCCTAGAGATATATTTTGGGGGGGGGGGTCACCGGGGGCCTGGGGGTATGGAATACCCCCCAAAAAGGAGGGGGTTCCTGGGGTTTCCCCCGGGAAAAATATATAAATAAATAAATATAGGCTATAAGTTAAAGGGTGATCAACTCAAGGAGGCCACCATTGGGATATCGGAAACGTTAAGAATTAGAGAAAACTTAAAATGGGGGACATTCCTTTATTTTTGTGGTAGTTAAAAATATGATTTTAACACCCTATATTTTATCATGTTTACGGATAGAATAGGCAATTTAAAAACTTTTTTATCCTTGACATTTTTTCGATAAACCCACTCGTTTAGGAGTTACAGCATATGGAAAAATGACTTCCGGTGTACATTTTACATCATGAATCTCCTAAACAAGTAAGTTTATAGCAAAAATGCGAAGAGTAAAAAAGTCTTACAATTGCATCCACATTCCAAAAAGACCATAAAATTCATTAAAAATATGAATTATATTATTTAAAAAATGGCGGCAAACTTGAAAAGTGGAAAACTTGTTGTTTTTTAGTCTTTAAGGAATTTAGATGCAATTCTAAGACTAATTTACTTTTTGCAATTTTGCTCTAAACTTACTCGTTTAGGAGCTACATGATGTAAAATGTACACCGGAAGTCATTTTTCCATAGGCTGTACTCCTAAACGAGTGGGTTTATCGAAAAAATGTCAAGGCTAAAAAAGTTTTTAAATTGCATATTCTATCCAAAAACATGATAAAAAAACTAAAATCATATTTTTAACTGCTACAAAAAATAAAGGAATGTCCCCCATTTATAGTTTTCTCTAATTCTTACCGTTTCCGATTTCCCAATGGTGGCCTCCTTGAGTTGATCACCCTGTATATATGAATTTGAACGGATGGTGTTTTTGGCCTCTAGGGACCTCAAAACGAAAAATTTAATCGGTCCCGGGTCCAGGTGTTACCATAAGTACTACGGCAATAGCTTATTCCCTATATGGGAAATTCGCCAAAAACCTAATAGTTATATAGAACAATATTACATTCAACCAGCTGTTAGTTAAAACAAATTATATGGGACTAAAACAAATCAATGAGAACAAAGATTCCTTTAAAAAATCATTTGAACATCCTACTATTTTACTATGCATATTTAATTAATCTGCCATCCTCATACCTAAGAATTGAATGAATCAATGGTCAGCATTACACATAGTATAAATAGGCCAACTCTAAATATGTCTTTAAATTTGTTTCCAAATGCTGAATTTGTGTCACAAATGCTGAATGTTTACAGCTGTTGTCCATATGTTATGTTAAGCAAATTATATTGTACTAAAAGCTAGCTTAAGAAGGTTAGCGTCGGCTGCTAGACTTTTCAAAAATTAAAACTTAATTTCAAAAAAACTGGGACCCTTAATTATAATTATGGCTTTGACATTCCCTAGTTCTCAAAATTATCTTTCTTTCAACACAAAAATAATGAAAATCCGTCGACTGGTTGATTCAGAATGTGAAAAACCCCCATTTACGTTTTAATAATATATATGATAGTTTGGACAGGTTTCAACCCTTCCGAGGCGTAATACATTTACACAGTTGATGTGTAGACTACATTATAACTCATAAAATAGTTCTAAAATTAAATGGGTCTCCTTTTACAAACGTATATAATAACCAGAAATTTTCGGATCGTCCTTGCGTGTATTTCATGCCACAAATTTTGACGAAAGGCTTTTCATTACATAAACTATACCTATTTACAGTGTTGACCAAACAGTTGGCAAGAAGCATTAATAGATAAGCTATGTACCAAATATGATAATTTTAGCTATATTCTAATTATGACAAAACACGAAGTAACTAAAAGCGAGTTTTGTTGGTGTAGTAAGCGTTGCAGGAGGTCTACTTTACACTGAATCGACGTTAACTTTTATTGCTTTTGATCTTCCGGCACTGTTGACTCAGCGAAACTGAACTTGTATTTTACCGTATTTCGTTATATTAAAACTGCTGTTGCATTAGGTCAAATTCCCAATAAGTCAATTGCTTTAACATAGACCACGTTTTTAGCTCGGACTGTATTATTTGACTTACTGGGACTTTTGATCTACAGACACTGCAAACATTGTAGTTTTTGACCTAGCGGCACAGGTATAAATTATTTGATCTTCCGGGACTGTTGACTTCCAGCAACATTCCCGTATTAAGTATAGATAACCAAAAAGAAGACCTTGAATCAGTGTTGTATAGGGCTGGGACACTTAATGATCGTCGCCAATAGCTTACAATCAAGGTTTCCACTTAGTGACGGCGCTTCAATGGCGGTTGTGTAAAGTGTAAAGTAAAAAATCACAACTGCAGTGGGTGATTGTAACAGAGGTTTACTGATGATGCTAAGCTCGCTCTTCCAATGTGTCACTTTCTGTTTCTACTCACCGTGTGATGCAATGGCTGGACCAAATAGCCAAAAGGGGATATGGATCCCATCTCTTGTTTACGTACGCCTACCTATTTATTCCTAACAACCTTTTCGACGACGATCCTTGATACCGGTACTTTTCTATAAAATATGGCCTATCTACTTAAGAAATAAAATTACAAATGTCAAAAAACCCAACATTGTGTGATTTTTTGTCACTTTCCTTCTAATGTTAATAGATATACTAATCATTGTTTAGAGAATACGTAGTCTATTAAATAACAAAAAGTTGTTTGGATAAGGTTGTTTTTTTTTTCTTTTTTTTAACTGACACCGATAAGTTTACATTAAAAGCTATAATTTTTTATGAGAAAATTCAAAACCAAGAGATCAATAACCTCGGGACTAGATAAATGCATTTAATTGGTCGGATGTACTATAATTCTTAACTGTAAACGTTGGTTTTTGGTACTAGTTCTTTTCCTTAGAACCGTTGGTAGCTGCAAGAATCATTTTTACGTACGAACATATAAATCTGTAATTTACAAATTAGTTATCGTTGGTGTTCCACCTTATTTATTAGAGCGGTATTCAATTTAATTGATGTCTTAACTGTATAAGTTTTGCTTTTTCTGTCTGGATTCCAAAATCTTAGCTAACCCGGTATGCTAAGAAAATGATAACCCATTTGAGTAAAACATTTGTTGAGCAAACCATCATGAATAGTTTACGGCTTTACGTTGTTTATGTATCAAAAGTTCGTGGCCTATTTTGGTAATTTTTATTCTAAATTACCAATCTAAATCGTCTATGTACTTCATTTTATATAGTAAGCCGTCATTTCGACAGCATTTCGGGTCATCTTCGGTCTAAGCAAATATAAATTGTTATGAAAAAAATTTGATGACATTAATAGAGATTTCCAATACTAATTTTATATGTACTTTGTTATGCTTAAAGCGTAGCAAATTCCTTAATTAAATTCTGTATTTTTGTGTGTATGTCTGTTGGTAACGCATTAATGTCCTATTTCTCAGTGTTTCACGGAATGGACAAGAGCACCTTTGATAATGAAAATGTCAACGGGAATAAAGTGTTAAATGGTAAGGTTGAGGTAGTTCTTTAAATACGTTTAATCATTGTAGAAATTAACTTTCAATTATAGGCCTACCTTAGGGCTATGCCTCATGGAACTATAAAGCATTTTTTAGTTTGATTATTGGATTTAACATATGGACCAACACGATCCGGGTGAGATTTAATTACGAAGCATTTATTTTGGCTTGAACTGTCAGATACTGTATTTTGCGAAGGTTTATATATAATAGTTTTGCCAGCATATCTGCAAACATGGAAACCAACTGTTTTTCTTAATATAAGAAGGTTTCAACTGACTACTATAAGATCCCCGTTCGTAGAACGAGCACACAGCTAGTCACAAATATTTCAAATGATTCGCACAAAACACTTGTAATACACTTTCGTTTAGTTAGTGTGACCAATAAATTAATTGTGGATATTTACCTAGTTTTTTTTTTTTTAATGAAAATGAAAGATGTTTTTTTCTTTATTCCGCTTGACAATTCTCTTCGGCAAAAAGTCCAACTAACTCTTGCCACACCAACTTTTTTTAAACCAGATTTTTATATTTGTCGCATTGCATGTCCAAAATGCATCGTCTTTTTTGTACTTCTTCAATGAACAGTTCAGTGTCAAAGTTTTCTAGTTCAACAGCAGCTTGCATGGTCATTAAGCTAACAATACAAGCACATCAAATACAGCTACAGCTACAGCTACACTCTCTACACCAACACACAAAGAGCGATGTCCAACAGGTGAGTGTGCAGATGTCTGTGATAATAGTAGCAACAGCAGTTAACTGTGGCGGCTACCGCCCTCGTGTGTACGCTCTCATGCCTACTCTAGTAACTCCAACCATGCGGGAGCCACGGGGGACGAAGGGAAATCTTAATCTACAACCGCACCGATTTATTGTGGTTGATTGAAAGTGGGCGGTTGCAACCGTCCTCATGGAGTACAAGGGCCTCACCCATGATAAAGGTTGTTGACAAGCTACTGGGATAAAATATGTGTTAGATTGCTGATAGCGATAATTGATAATTGTATTAATAATTGATCGAGGCACACTAACAATTTAACAAACTTACCTGTTTTGTAACTTCATTTTTCTTCTTGGGTTTGTCTTTTGATGAGCTTGATTTTTTCTCTGATTCAATTGGCGTGTTTGTTTTTTTTCCTCTAGCGGGTGGTGTTTTTTTCTTTTCAACAACTTTTTTGTTACGAAGAGTCATTGATTCATTGAAAACTGACTGAAATGAAAGTTAGGGTTAATTTTATATACTGCAGCACTAAAATGAGTTAACATAGACAATTTGTAATTGAAAATATTTTTAAACATCTCCTATCCTAACTATTAATTAAAATCACTTAGAGTTTATTAAATTCAAAGCTAAACTGTACTTAAGTATCCATCATTATAACTAATAAGATTAGAGTGTGTAAACAGTTTAATATAAAAAGTACCTGGAGACCGAGCTTTGCTCGGGGAAAATCATTAGTTTACTCTGAAAGTAGCCTTAATATTGCAGATACATAAATCCATTCCCAAACTCCATACAGCTTGCCTTTACTACTTCCTTCACCACTCCCTACGTCGTTGATCTGTTTCCCTCCATTCGCATTGCATGTTAGGATTGTGAATACCCTTACTAATCGTTATTAACAGTTCCCACACTCCGGACAGCTCGCCTTGACTACTTCCTTCACTACTTCCTACGTAGCGGACCTGTATTCCTCCCTTCCCATAGCATTTTAGGATTCCAAATACCTTAATATAATCGTCATAAACAGTTCCCACACTCCGGACTATTCGCCTTGACTACTTCCCTCACCACTTCCTACGTCGCTGACCTGTTTTCCTCCCTTCCCATCCAGTTCTCACACTCCAGACAACTCGCCTTGACTACTTCCTCTCCACTTCCCACGTCACGGACCTGTTTCCCTCCCTTTCCATAGCATTTTAGGATTGCCCATACCCTTATCTAATCGTCATAATCAGTTCTTACACTCCGGACAGCTCGCCTTTACTACTTCCTTCACCACTTCCCACGTCACAGACCTGTCACTCTCCCTTCCTATAGCATTTTAGGATTCCAGATAGGCTACCTTAATCTAATCGTCATAAACAGATCCCACACTTCGCACTGCTAGCCTTTACTAGGCCTACAATGTATTGAGTAATCTTCAGTATAATCTTTGATCAATAGTAACAAGTGATGTTTTTCCTTTTGTACTGTATTTGTAATTTGCTAGTATACTGTGGGTAGTTGGCTTATAATGAACACATGCTTCAACTTCAAGTATTTTGTTTACTTTTCCTTGTTATTTAATTCAACCAACATGGTTACTTAGCAACCCATAAGACTAATGTAAAAAAAATATGACTTTCAGTTTCGTTTTTCTACGTAATTAGATTTTTGTTGGGAGTTCTAACTGCATGAAGCTCGTTTTTAGGCCAAAAATAAACTATTTACAAGATTTGAAGAAAATCGTCGGAGCCGTTTTCGAGATCTTTCTGCAAGCAAGCAAGCAAGCAAGCAAGCAAGCATACATACAAGCAAACATTGCTTGTATTAGAGTATAGGATAGGATATCACTGCCATAGCTAACCTGCAACCTATGTGAATTTCCATTTGCCTGATTGGATTTTCACTAAAATATCTCCTTATTCCTACTAATCATACTATATATTCTATATATATTATAATTTCTAAAATACTTTTTTTTGTCTGTAGGCCACGACTTCTTTAATTCCTCACCAATTTATATAAATAAGGTGTAATTTTAAAGCTTTTTATACCCACTACACCCGAAAAATAAACAAATCACTCATTTTTCAGTATAGTTTTTTGTAAAAAGTTGAATATTTAAGGTTTTCAGAATTTTTCACCGAAACAAATATTATACTTAAACATAATATATAAGGTACCAAATAGAAACTCTCCTGGTTATTTTGGTGGTAGAACCACACTGATCGGTAAAAGAATCACAGAGAAATTGGTGAACATACATAGAAAAAAAAAAAACATCGCCACAAACAAATTGAGAACCTCCTCCTTTTGTTGGTAGTGGGGAAGTCGGTTAAAAACTATCTATTATATAATTCTGCAAGTAATTTAGACTTGACAGGTTTATTTATGTTATTCGGTTGGCTGAAACATGTGAATTAAATTAATCAAAACAAACAAATATTTACTTCTCAAATCCGATTGATTTGTTTTTACTTCATCCATGACGACCAACACCAACATACTTAGTGTCGGGGATAAGGCCTCTTTTATGCACGACGTTTTCGGTCGGTCGGAATCGATGTCCCTTTTATGCAGTTTCTCCGCTGAGCGGAATCCGCTGTTTTTTTATGATGCCCGTGGTGGGGGTTGTCAGTGTTGCCAACTTTGGTTCCTTTGGCCATCATCAGTGATAGTGAACCAAGATGGATTCTTGTTTATTGGCTTATTTATACCTATTTGTGCTTAAGAATAATAGACGCCGGCAAAGGAGTTGTGGGCTGTACGTACACCCAGTGAATGAAAGGTTTAGGGCTGTCCTTTTGTACAAAAATTCCCATATCAATCCCGGGTGATACCTTTGATACAAAAATCCCCATGTCAGTCCCGGGAATACAAAAGTCATGAAATGAAATGAAATGAAATATTACTTTACTATCACGAAACATTTCACAGATCCAGCGTTAGCTGGTGAAACAGGTGATATTGTCAGAGATCTTAAACACTACATAATAAAACTAAAATCTACATAGCTTAAACTAAAAAACATTTACTTATCATTTAAATAATCGGATAATTTTTCTGTAAAAGGTATTGTTTGAAATCATTAGTCATATTATTCCTACGAAACAGTAAGGCTGTACCTACTATTCCGCGGATTTAAACAAACATGTAATTTTCGCCCAGTACATTTTTTCCCAATTACACCTCTTAATTGGAACTCTTTAATTTATTACAATGAATAATGATAATCTATTTACAATGATTAGGCGATTTTGATACTGTGGATGGCAGAGAGAGCGTGAGGTATGTTGACAGTGCTACATTTCGCCCGACTGAAAACGCAGTTGCATAAAAGGGTTCCATTTGAACCTATGTAAAAACACGCTCCGACGGAATGCCCGATAGATTCTGGTAGATTCCGCCCGACGGAAGACGTTGTGCATAAAAGAGACCTATAAGTTTAGACACTCGAGTTTGGAAAACTTGGTTGGTACAGAAAAGTAACCAAACTACTTAGAAAAACACAGAGTATGTCTAAATTTCCGTGGTTTTATACTACTTATTCCTGTGAAAAAAAAAATGTTTAGCTCGTTTAGAAATCATTTTATGACAGTCGGAAGGTAAAAACCTGTTTTCAGACTATCAAGAACCATCTTATGACTTTGACAATTTACACAATATAAACTGAATGTCAGAAATTCATCAAACTTTAATACAATATAGATACGATACATATATAGTGTGGGTTTTAAATGAGTTCCCCTCACTACTTTTTTCAACATTTCTTAAGATATCAACTCCGGACCACGTCAGATCATGGTAGAGTAGTAAGTACTTCATTTTGGCTGGGTATACATTTTTGGCCACCATCTTGGATCCGCCATATTAGATACAAAGTTTGTTTTTCAAATGTAAAGGTAGGGTTGTGACCCAACATTTCAAACTAAAATTTTACGCTGATTACAATGCCACAATTCGTTTTTAAAAATCTTGATCCATTCTAAAGTTATGAGGACTTTTTATAACATTATTTTTAGCCCATTTTGATTTTAGCATAGTGCATTTACAAACTAAGACCATGATCTCAAAATAGTGCTAGATAAAGATAAGTACACACCACCATTCATTGTCGACCTATTTTCACTTGGTTATGTCGGATGTATTGTTTTCTGCGGCCATCTTGGATCCGCCATTTTGAAATGTGATAAATTATTTTAAATATGATGGTGTCCCCATCATTTTGAACTACTTTTTTTATGCTAAACTCAATGCAGCAATCCGTTTTTCATTTTGAAATTTGATTTTACAGCCATATTACAAAGACTCTGGTTATTGATCCAGGCAGTGCTGCTACCTTTGGGTGTTTCAGTGAACTATGTCCACTTTCGGGGTAACGCAGAACAATCACCACTGCTCTTTTGTGAATCGTCTTACTGAGATATTTCAATGCCAATAGCGATCGCTGATTCAGTAGCGCGCCGGGGCTCCGCCCGCAGTTTAGGGAGCACCATAGTAAAGGTTTTCAGCAGTCAACGTGTTAAAAGATACGTCAACATGAGAGTGATTGTAATATATTCCAATAACCTGTCTTATTAACATTTATCTAAAACAGCTGTAAAATGTTATGTTTATATTTTTTTTCCTATGATAATAAAAATACTGTTTGGTTCTAACATTTAAAAGAATTATTTTTATTAGTGAAATATGTTTTAGTGGCGACGAGGACGGGATTTTTAATGACTCATACACTTTTCTACAGGATAAACATTGAAATTACCATACTATCATGACTGAAGACCTTTCAACAATTTTATCAATGTTTGTTCAACAGCAGGCTATACTTTTGAACAAGTTTAATGAAATCACTCAAACCCATGCACAGAATCCAAAACCTTCAACACCCCAGAACGGAATCACATCATTCAATTTTGATTCATTTGATGAAAATCTTGAAGATTTCAATTCATACAGACAACGACTTGAAAATTACTTTCATTTGAAAAACATTACAGGAAACGAAGATGAAGTACAACAAATCAAAGCACGAATATTGATCAATTGTATTGGACCAAAACATTATCAACTACTAGGTAGTCTTGTATCTCCAGACCTACCATCAAACAAAAGCTACGACGAATTGATTAAAATAGCTGAAAAACATTTATGTCCAAAACACAATGTTTTTGTGCTACAACATACTTTTCTATCACGTGTTCAAAGTCCGACAGAGTCCATATCTGAGTTTGTAGCTGCACTAAGAAGACTTACATTCACATGCAATTTCAACTGCCCTTCTTGTGAATCTTCAGTGGTCGATTTGTTTTTACGTGCACAATTCATTCGAGGATTACGAGATGAAACAATCAGTGAAAAGATTCTTCAGCATCCAGAATTGACTTTTGAAGGTGCGTATGAACAGGCTCTGACTCTTGAAGCATCAAAAAAGGGTTGCAAAACATTTCATGGAACTGATTCAATAAACAAAGTTTCAAAAGTTTTTCGTACAAAAAACTATGATT